ATACATATATATATATACACATGATACCATTACTCCGTGATGTGGGCGGCAACGCCGTGCGGGACATTTTCACCGTCACCGCTCCAGAGCAGTCGAGCACATTGAATTCCTCCTGGACGTTGGGTGGTCCTGTTGGTGGACAGGACTGCAGATGCCCTCAGCACCACGTGGAACAACGCGCAGCCGGTTAAGCCCGCCACCAGCAGGCGACGCAGCCTTGACAAGCCTCCGGGACCTAGTCTCCGCCTCCAAACGGAGGTGCCTTTGAAGGGCCGGTTGGAGCACAACCGCATACAACCGCGGCCAGTGGTTTCGAGAAGGTGGCCGTGAGCAGCCGTCCCGACTTCAACTCCCAGGTGGTCCCCTCGAGCGACGGCTCCAAACAGACGATGAAGTGCTCAGGATCGAACAGAAGAGACCCTCCAGAGCAGAGCCCGACAAGGCGCTGGGCAAGCGAGGGGCTGGCGAAGCGCCAAAGCATGCTGGACAATGGCATTGGTAATGGCTTTGGCGTCTGGGGCTTTTAGCTGATGACTACGGCATCATCGTGAAGGACAAGGTTGATTCACAGGGCCGGGGCCCAAGGTGCAGGCTCCTGGACGTCGTCGCCTGGGCCGAGAGGGAAACCTTTTATGGCCGTGGACATCAAGGATGACACAGTGGCGGTGGTCCCTGGCACCATCGTTGTCTTCAACACCTCGTGTCTCCGACAACCCGCGTTGCCGGGGCCTGAAAGATACCGGTGCAAGGCTTGGGGAAGGTCCAGAAGACGCAACATAACTTCCGTCGTGCGTGCACGCAGGCACCACCCTGAACAAAACAACCCTATCCGAACCTGCGCTGCCGACGGTGGTGGTGTAACCTTGCGGACTTCATTAGGGCAGGCTGCTTTGAATTCGTGCCCAGTATGAGCACCTCGCTTGTGACTCTGGGACTCTTGGGACATCTGGGACATCTGGGCCATGGGACACAAGCCAGGCCACCAGCCCGACCCTAAACGAGCCTGCTGAGTTCACGCCACTTGTGCCGGGGATACTCGCGCTCACGTGGTTTCGTCTGTCGGCTTCCGCTTTGCCCGTGGCCTTCAGATTCGCGGAGGAAGCACTTGGAATTTCCCACTGCATTTTCGGATGAGCGATTTAACTACATGCCGAATCAGGCATAACATTGGCACCTTCGGGGCTAGTGCCGACCCGGTATCAGCAGCGCGTCCCCAACTCGCGGGAAGCAGGTAGGAAGCACATGTGTGCGTTGGGTCCTTTCGACTTTGGACATGCGGGTGTGATCTTGCGCTCTAGTTCACGGTCTTGTCTACCGAGAGGTGCGATGTGACGACCAACACGTTAGAACAAGCGTTTCTGCACTTCTTATGGCGGTTGTTTGGGGAGCGGTCCTGCGGTTGTTGTAATGACAATTCAGAAGCGTGGTTGGTGGGTAGTGAAACAGGTGTGTTTTCGTGGCCATTTTCGGTCAAGATCACACCCACCCTCCCACACCGGGTGTGACCTTGCCCTCTCTCGTTCACGGTTTAAGCCGGCTGTTTAGCGAAAGGTGCACCCAACGACAACAGATTAAAACAAGTGTCTCTGCACCTTTACTACTGCTGCTGCTGCTACTACTACTACTACTCCTGCTGCTGCTGCTACTACTACCACTACTACTGCTACTACTACTACTACTACTACTACTACTACCGCTACCGCTACCGCTATTACTACTACTACTACTACTACTACTACTACTCCTACTACTCCTACTACTAGTACTACTACTGCTACTGCTACTCCTACTACTACTACTACTACTACTACTCCTACTACTACTACTGCTACCCA